GAGTGACTACCGGGACTTTGAACTCTGCTTGGAGAAAATTGTGGCCAGATTGTGTCCACAAGAGGGATTTTGAAGGGTTTGGGGCTGACCCTGATGATCCTATGTCGGCTGTTAAATCCATTGTGGCACTGGGGAGTTCCATGGGGTTGGATGTGAGTTTGGAGGATGTGGAAGAGTTGGTGGAGGACCACAACGAAGAGCTAACCACTGAGGAGCTGCAAGAGCTTCAGCAGGAAGAGCAGCAGATCGCAGCTCAGAATCTTGCTGCAGAGGAGGAGGAAGAGAGATGGAGGAAGGTGCCTTCTTCAGAAATTAAGATTTTTGAAATGTGGGGTAGGATGGAAAGATTTATGGAGAAACATCACCCAGAGAAGGATGTTGCAAGCCATATCGGCAACTTGTACAGTGACAAAGTCTTGGCCCATTTTAGGGAAGTTTTAAAGAGACGCCAGAAACAGAGCTCTCTGGACAGTTTTTTTGCGAGACAGGACTCCAGTGACTCTCAAGGTAGTCCTAGTGGCATTAAGAAACAGAGAAGAGAAGTAACCCCAGAAAAGCAATTGGTACCTGAGGTGTTGATGGAAGAGGATTCCCCTTCCATCAAATTGGGCAAAATCGCCGATGTGTAAACATCATCGAGACTGCGAACTTCGTGATAGCATAATTCCGTAAGTTTTCCATCAAATTTCATACTTTTGCTGTCATTATGATCAGGAAAAGATTCTCTATCATTTCGTAAGAAAAAATAATTTTTTTTTCCGAAAAATTTTCGATCTTGAAAACAAGTTTAGGAGAGGGCCTCTCGACCCTGAATGGGTTAATAGATGGTCCTGTTTATCATTGGCATGCTGAATTCACTTCCTATGTTTCTGATTCTTAATGGAAACTGACTTGCTGTACCCACTTTTATTTTATTTTATCCCTACCCCCAATAACCCTTGGACACTCCTGCTCCTCACTCCTTCCTAACCCCCACATATTCATCCTTAAGCACATCCCTCCCTGCAGCACTATATGATCCTTTCAGGTTTAGTGCTTAGATTATATTATCAACAATTGAAGAGAAGGCCTAGAAATCTGACTGTAGCACATACCAAGATGGGGAGCTAAACAGGTAGGAGGTTTGCACGCGACATTGTACACAGGGTGAGTGTCTGGCATGGTGGTGGTCAAGTACATGCTAGTGATGCTGTGTTTACCTAATGTGATACTTCTTTTAAAGCCTTGCCCATCGTTCTTGGGGTGCTGATAGACAACCCCTTTGTTGTCTTCATTCTGTCCTATCTTATTTAAATTGGACTATGGCAACCAGCTGTATCCGGGCAAACCTAGAGGATGTTCTGGGAATCAATGCCCCCATGACCCATTACTCCCAGTGGATCAGGACCTTATCAACTAGGCTGTTACTGTTGGCCGCATGCACTCCAACATGCGAATCACAGCCTGGCTGATTGGGCACTGGCTTTAGGTGTCTATTAAGTTCTCTCTTGAAGACAGTTAGGGGTCTTATTGGTAATTCTTCTTATGTATGACGGGAGGCTGTTAAACAGTTCTGGGCTCCAGACACTTGTTGTTTTCTTTTAGCGGTCTCATGGCACCCATGCTTTTCATTGGTGGCACATCACACCTTCTGCTGAGTCTCTCTGATTTCTGAGTGTAGATTTGGGACCAGTCCCACTAGGATTTTTCAGGTGTAGATTATGATGTGTCTTTCTCCTCTGGATTCCAGGGAGTACAGGTCAAGGGACTTCAAACATTCTCAGTACATTATCTAGATCTGCAATTTCACCTGCCTTGAATGGGGCTGTTAGTGTACAGCAGTGTTCTAGCCTAGAGAGAATAAGTGACTTAAAGAGGATCATCATTGGCATGCCATGTCATCCCTTGTTAAAAAGTTTTGTTATCCATCCTGTCATTTTCCTTGCAGATATGATAATGACACTGTTGTGCTCCTTGAAGGTGAGATCCTTTGACATAGTCACTCTCAAACCCTTCACATTAGTTAGTTACTCTCAAGCCTTTCACATTAGTTTTTCGCTCTGTTCTGTAGTTAGAACTTGTTGTACGTATATTCTGTGCATTATTTCTTCAGGTTTTCCATACAACAGTAACTGAGATTTGCCCTAATTGAACATCATATTGCTTTCTGTGGCCCATTGGAAAACTTGGTTTATATTCGCTTGGAGATTTACTGTGTCCTCAGTAGATGACACATTCATGCAGATTCTGTTATCATCTGCAAAGGAAGACACATCACTGTCTGTCAAATATGAGGATGAGGAAGAAGCTGGGGTGAATCTTGTACCTTGTGGAACAGAGCTCTTCACTTAACTTTTTGTTTTTTAGTTAAAAAGTTAAAGATCCATCTGCCCACTTTTCTAGTTACTAATTTAGAACACATTTTGTGTGCTATTACACCATGATTTGCAAAGTCTGTGTACATGTATACTACAGCTACATTCTGATTGACCTCCTGTGCATCCAAGATCATGTCATAGTGGTCCAGTAGTTGTGAGAGGCAGGAGCGACCTGCTCTAAACCTGTGTTGCCCTGGGTTATGCAGTTGTTGGGAGTCCAAGTGGTTGAGTCATGCTTCTTAGAACCCTTTCAAATATTTTTATAATGTGGAATGCTAGTGCTGTTGATCTGTAAGTCTTTGTTATTGCTTCGCTGCCACCTTTATGGAGTGGGCTACATCCATTGTTTTTAGCAACTGGAGGATGACCTCTGTGTCCAGGCTCCCTCTCCATAGCAAAAGGGGTTTCTTGCAGTTCTTGATGAACCTGGCATTCCACAAGTCTGGGCTTGTGGCAGGGTGCATGGGCATGTTATATCAGAAGTTTGGCATATATTGACAAGGTTTTGAGACTCGTTCATGAAAAATTCACACTTGTTGTTGATCTTTATTTAGTTTGTTTAATGGCTCACTGAACACAATCATACTGAGACTTAGTATCTCACTCATTTTTTTGCTGTCCTCCATGTAAGTCCCATCTTGTTTGAGCAAGGGCCTGATACTGGATGTGATTTTTACCTAGTCTTCCACTATTAGACTTTATTTCTTTCATCATCAAGGGTTACATTTGTGTCTAGGTGCTTTTAATTCCTCCTCATTTGAGAGCCTGTATATGGAGGCGAATGTTCCATCTCTGCAAGATTGATATGATGTTCATTATCTCCATGACCTTTACAATGATGGTAATGGATGTTAATAGAATTTCACTTTTTGATAGCTACCCCTATTTACTACTACCGTTTCCTCTTCATATTCATAAACTCTATTGGCTTCCCTTAATTTGCCTCCTTTCTGTCCATTCAGCACCCTTTCTTTTCCCTTGGGAAGTTCCAATGATTTGTGTCTGTTCTTCCCTGCTTCCATGTATGAAAGCTTAGTTACCTACTAAAGCTTCACACTCACTCTTTCTTAACAACTTCCATTCTCAGTCTCATGCCATTGCAGTGTACACTGTTGTTCTAAGTCCTCTGAAGGTGTCAGGTATGCAGCAGTTTTTCTGGACAGAATTATATGAGGTCATTTACTAGATTCGTCAAGTATTTGAACAGCTGAGTTGTAAGCAATTCTCATGGCATCTTATATATTGCATCAATGCCTGCCTTTGTCATTTCTAGTAGTTTGACTCCCACAGCATGTTACAGGCTATCCAGAAATTTGATTCCCCTCATACCATTGTCTTGCATATACAACTTTAGTTATGCCACATTTCTAGTAAACGTGAAGATGTCGTTTACAACTGGGCCCCTGGACATGATGTTCTGGGTAACGAAGAGGCAGACTGCCACTTGGTCAGGAGTTCTTAATTTTTTACATGGGGCATTTCTTTCTCTGAGCATTTTTGGGCAAATTAGGTCAAATTTTTATCCCAGGATGTGATCCACACCAGTTGACTAACACCCAGGTACCTATTTTACTGCCTGGTGTTTCCACCCATGCCAGAAATCAAACTCAGACCCTCAGCGGAAACACTGGCCGTGTTTCCTTACACCTGTTGTCCCTGTTCACCCATCAGTAAAATGGGTACCTGGGTATTAGTTGACTGGTGTGGGTTGCATCCTGGGACAAAAATTTACCAAATTTGCCCGAAATGCTGTGCATAACGGGGCTTTCTGTATATTAGCATGTCATTGATATCAGCTAGGTCTGTGTACCTTGTTCATGTACTTGTAGAAATAATGGTATTATTATTATTGTATTAATGGTACATATTAATTTGTAAGGCTTGTAAATAAATTTTTATTTAATTTTAATTTAAATATGCAATCTTTGATAGCCTTACATGTCATTCTTTTTCTTAGGCAATTTTAATTCATTTGCTCTCAGAAAAGTTAGTTTCAGATCAAGCATATTGCAGTGCACACACCCTACCCTGCAGCACTGTATGACCCTGGTGGGTTTAGTGCTTAGGTTTGTTGATGATGATAATAATCTGGGAAAGGCTAGAGTCTTTCTTACCCCTTTTTTCCAAATAGACACAAGCTGCAGTATGGTGGAGTACGCGTGGAAAGGCTGGACATTATTACCTTTACCTTTGATATACCTTTGATGAGTTTCAAAAGTTTCACTACTCTTGTTGCTGACCCTTGTGGGTTTAGCTCTTAGTTAATAATTATAATAATAATTAATAATGGACATTGTTGTACACAAGAAGTGTGTTTTTATTATAAGATTTGTCAGGAAAGAGGTCTAATGATTGTAAAAGAATATAACTAGAGACAGAATATCCAACTGTATCACATGGTTTAGGTTCTTGAAGACAAATGAATGCAAGGGAAAACCAACACAGGATTTGCATCGAAAATATTCTCACTCTGAAGTATCCTCGTCTTCTAATATTCCATTGTTAGCAGAAAGTTGACATAATACACAACAGGGATGTCTTTCTTACTATAATTTCTCTAAGCAATTTTTGTCTTCATGTCTGTATCACTTCATGATAACATATGGTGTTAAAGAGTAAACCACCATTCTTTAAATTCTGCAGGTCACAGCCCCTCACACTTGCTGATTTATGCAGAGTTGATATACGGTGTCGGCTTGGTGAGAGGATCCAAGCAAGCCTTGAAGTCTCTTCTCTACCTCCAAGAGTAGTAAGATTTCTTATGTTAGAAGATGTAGCAGAGGTGGATCTCTGACAGCCACTACAATTTTAGGAACATGAAATTTTAGTAATATTTGAGTATATTGAAGGTAAGGTATAATTATGTGATGTGTAAGTGTCAGACATTAATGTAAAGATTGTGTTAACTTGTCCTTTCATATTTTCTTATTTCTCCCTTTACTTTTTTGAGAGAAACCAACAGTTAAACTAGTATTACTTGACCACTCATTAGAGCTAGTGGTTATACTGTACCTTGTGTTTTATTTATACTGATCACTTGCCTTACTTCTGCTGTATTAGTTTTACTTAGTAATACAGATTATTTTGCTAGCAAGTTTGGGACAAAGGTAAAGCCCAGTCTTGGGTAGGCTTTCTAATATTTAATGTTCCTAAGATATAAAAGGTGCTTTTGGATTTAGTAAGATTTGTTTGGATACAAACCAATGATTAAATGAAGAATCTCAAATTTTATTTTTCATCTGAATTTACTCTATGGGTTACATATCTTTTCTTAACTTTCATTGTCTTTTTTGGTGAAGCCAGTGAAGAAATCTAGTTTTTCCAGTTATATTTTAATCATAATAATTCAAAATATTTGAGTAATTGTTTAATGCTTTACTAACAAATAGTCATTTATTGTAGTCCCTTGATATTTGTTACTTACTCTCTATAATTTTTAGCATTCCAATTTTTGCTCTTGTAACACAAAAGTTACATACACTGTCTGCAGAATTATAATCTACGTTTATTTACAAGTAATAACATTATTTTTAACCCTTTCAGGGTCCGTCCCGTAGATCTACGGCTTTACGTTCAGGGTCCAAACCGTAGATCTACGTCATGAGCTCAGCTCACTCTGATAAACTGTGAGTGGTACATTTGGGCCTAGATATGAGAGAATACATCTATGTAGTATGTGTGCACCACATAAAACAAATCCTGCAGCACATTGTGTATAATGAGAGAAAAAAAACTGAGACCATGATTTTCGATTAAAACAGTGACTTTGCAATGTTTTTTCGTACGTTTTTTATAGTTGTATTTGCGATTTCTTGGTCTCATTTGATAGAATGGAAGGCATATTACAGAAATAGATATGATTTTGATTGGTTTTAGCACTGGAAATGGCTTGAAACTGAGCTCAAAGTAGCAGAAATGTTAAATTTTTGCCGATATTCAAGAGTAAACAAACGACCTCACACGTCTAATACACACCAGCTGGTGGGTCTAATATGCATTCACAAATATGGTGATGATATTTATACAATTATTACAGTATTGCATAACAGTAAATCTTCTATTTTTTGGTGTGAATAAAAATTCATTATGTGAATAAAAAATAAAAATGAAATTTATTTGTAAAGCCTCAAAACATAACTAATGAGCAGAGGAAATGTTAGTTTAGTTCCAGGAATACCTACATTGTTTATTCTGGACCCTATTTTGAAATTGGAATATTTTGAACTTTGTGTTAAATTGGCCAAATTAACAATTTCCGATCACTTTAATTTGTAGTTGAAACAGTTGACTTGGCGAATTCTTGTGCTCAATCGATAGAATAGAAGTAATACTAGTGAAATAGCTAAGAATTTGGTCGACTGGAATAATATAATTGGCCTAAAATGGGAGTCAAAGTCGGCAAAATCGCCGATTTGTAAATATCACTGACACATCAAAATTCGCGAGAGCATAATTTCGTCAATTTTCCATCAAATTTTGTACTTTTTGTTTTATTACCTTCACAAAAAGATTCTCTACCATTTCATAAGAAAAAATAACATTTTTTTTTTTTTAAATTCTTGGACACTGGGGCACCACTTCAGATTTGGGCCTTGGACCCTGAAAGGGTTAAATATGCCCAGTTAACCCTTTCAGGGTCCAGAGGCCAAATTTCAAAGTGCTCACCAGGGTCCAAGAATTTTCCCCCAAAATTTTTTATTTTTTCTTATGAAAAGGTAGAGAATTTTTTTCTGAAGGTAATAAAACAAAAAGTACGAAATTTGATGGAAAATTGACGAAATTATGCTCTCACGAATTTTGACGTGTCAGCGATATTTATGCATCGGCGATTTTGCCGACTTTGACTCCCATTTTAGGCCAATTACATTATTCCAGTCGACCAAATTCTTAGCTATTTCACTAGTATTACTTCTATTCTATCGATTGAGCACAAGAAATCACCAAGTCAACTGTTTCAACTACAAAATAAAGTGATCTGAACTTGGTAATTTGGCCAATTTAACATAAAGTTCAAAATATTCCAATTTCAAAATAGGGTCCAGAATAAACAATGTAGGTATTCCTGGCACTAAACTAACATTTCCTCTGTTCATTAGTTACGTTTTGAGGCTTTACAAATAAATTCTGTTTTGATTTTTTATTCACATAATGAATTTTTATTCATACCAAAAAATAGATTTACTGTTACGCAATATTGTAATAATTGTATAAATATCATCACCACATTTGTGAATGTATATTAAACCCACCAGCTGGTGTGTATTAGATGTGTGAGGTCGTTTGTTTACTCTTGAGCTCAGTTTCAAGCCATTTCCAGTACTAAAACCAATCAAAATCATCTCTATTTCTGTAATATGTCTTCCATTCTATCAAATGAGACCAAGAAATCGCAAATACAACTATAAAAAATATACAAAAAAAAACACTGCAAAGTCGCTGTTTTAATCGAAAATCATGGTCTCGGTTTTTTTTCTCTCATTATACACTGTGTGCTGCAGGATTTGTTTTATGTGCTGCACACATACCACATAGATGTATTCTCTTATATCTAGGCCCAGATTTACCACTCACTGCTTATCAGAGTGAGCTGAGCTCATGGCGTAGATCTACAGTTTGGACCCTGAACGTAAAGCCGTAGATCTACAGCACGGACCCTGAAAGGGTTAATAGACAGTGATTTATGGAGATATTCTTTGGCAATTCCTGCACCTCTAATTTGGGCAGTTTTTAGCAACATATTGTTCATGTTACCATAATCATATCAAATATGTACTACAGTGTTCTCAAAGAATTGTACTCTGCAGAAAAATTTTTCATTTGAATGTTAGACCAGATTATTCGATTACAAATTCCCTCTGCTAATGAATAAAGCTAGTCTCATGACCTCACTTGCTTATGTGCAAAATTTAAAATACAGTATATAGTATTTTCAAATTGCTGAATCATTTCCTTTGAAAAATGTAGATCATTACACACTATTTTAATGCAGTATTCAAAATATATAGTTTTCTTTCCCTCCTCTCCTCCCCCCCTCTTTTTTATTATTTCATTTGTAATCAGCACTGAATTAGGTGGGCAGCTTTCTAGGGCACAATGGATATGCTGTCTGCTTAATATGGCACCTGCTTTATGTAGCTCTAGATTATTGTGTCATTAGTAAATGGCCGGGCCAGGAAATCTGAAAATAACATGAACTGTAAATTTTTATATACTGTATGTACATGGGTAGAATTTGCTGTAGTATTTGTGTGTATGCTTACACATTCAGCATAATTTCTTACCCTGAGGAATACTTTTTATAATAGAGCATTTTAACGTAAACTCTGCACGGGAAACTTAGCCTTGTACCAGGGACCACTATCATTTTTGCCTGGAAACATAACAGACTAGGGAGATTTATATATTTTTATAGCGATGTAGAAGTAAATATAAACATGGAGCTGTAATGTTTTAATGATCAATAATGTTTTTACTCTGTTATTTAAAATCTCTCTCTACATTTAAAGGAAAGTTGATTTTTTTTAAAACTACTTATGAAGAAAAAATTAAGAAAGTGCCTAGGAATATATGAAGTAAATCAGAGTTGGCACATCTCTGTTGTACACTGAATGAAAGTTCATGTATTGATGATATTAGTCCATCCTTAAGTTCTGTTAGTTTTTTCTGTTTACTTAATATATATACAATGATCTATTGCACAGTGGCCACAATCTTGTGTATTAGTCATCTTAGTAATTGAGAGGGATGATCTTCCTGTCTGTTATATATTGTTATACCAAGTCTTGGACAAGTGTCTTCCCAGGAAGCTCAATTATTTGAATGTATGTTTGCAGGTGTACATACCTATTTGTATATGCAACAAATGGGTAACTCAAGAACTAAATCTACCATAGAATTTTATAAACTAGTAGTAAATTGTTAAGTCTGGAATATTTATAAAAAGTTATATAATCTTGCAAAATATGGTATAAAGTGAAAATTTCACTTGAAACCACTATATAATTTATAGGTAACTAAGCTGTATATAGTACAATGCTTTACCATGCTTACAGTGTAATATATTGTGTTTAATAGTAGTTATTGTGAAAATTAAAAAAAAAAATATTAATGAACTGGGGCTTATTTAATACCTCTGCTTGAAAATTTTTGCAGCTCATGATAGGGCTATAAAATTCCTAGAAGTGGCACTCCTGGCAAGTCCTACAGATAACCAACATGATGTGTGTGTGTTTGCTATTTCTTGTTTTTCATTTTAAATCCCTTCAAACTTCTTTGTCTTGTATTTTTCTCTTCATATTATTACACAGTTATGTAGACCCCATGACTAGGACTACTGTTGGGTATCATTGAACCCAGTGTAAAATTTGTTTGTGAAAACTTTCATAAAATGTGTGTGTACATTAGTTGTATGTTTTCATGAAACACTGGTGTATATTTTGAATTACAGATAGTGGAAAATATTGCATTCATATGTCAAGCACTTATAGGCGAGTACTAATTTTTGACATATATTTGCACTTACCTGAGATAACCTTTTTTGTGCAAACAAGTCTGTTTATTTCGTCTACTGACTCAAACTTTTAACCTTGCTTTTTCAGCCAGTCTGTAAAATTATTTTGTATAATGAATTATTATTATTATAATCAAAAAGAAGCGCTAAGCCACAAGGACTATACAGCGCTGCAGGGCAGGAAGGAAGTGAGGGCATCAGGTGGCAAAAGGGAGATGGATGAGTAATAGGTTACGGATAACAGCAGGGCAGTGGATGGTGAAAGGGTAAAGGGCAGCAAGAGACTGAACTAGAAAGGGCTGAGGGAGTGCGAAAAGTAACATCAGAGTTTGTGGAGTAAATCAGTCGTTGTCAAGAAGTCAATGAGAGAGTCAGGATTAAAGGAGGGTCCATCAGCAAGAAGGGAAGGTAAAGAGAGAGTAGTAGAACGAAGACGACGTTGGAGGTAAATTCTGCGTGCTCGTTGATAGAGGGGCAGTCTAACAGAATGTGGCTAATCGATACTGGAACTTGACACTGCTCACAGAGAGGAACAGGGTGCCTCTCCATGAGATACCCATGAGTAAGACGAGTGTGGCCAATGCGAAGGCGGGAGAGAGTGGTCTCCCAACCTCGGCACTGATGACAAGAAGACGGCCAGTAACCTATGCTCGGTTTAATAGAATGAAGTTTGTTACCGAGCAGAGTTGACCAATGTTGTTGCCAACGGGTGCGAAGGTGGGTAGCTATTGCAGCAAAATAGTCCAGAAATCGAACACCTCGATAGGAAATTGGTAGGTCATGTACTGCTGCCCGCACAGCAGTGTCTGCCTGTTCTTTGCCCTGTACGTCGACATGACCGGGACCCAACAAAAAACAATACTTTATGTTTGGAGAAAGGGCATACCCAAAGTTGGATGGGAGAACGGGGGGATGAATTAAAAAATTTTCGAAAGCCTTAGAGCACAAAGGGATCGGGAAACACTACAAAGATGCACAGGCATAGATGCATACAATAAGTGCTGCAAGAATGGCATTCATTCAGCAGTAAAAATGCTAGCTGAAGATATAAAGGCCCCCGCACGACCTTCCGGAAACACTGCAAACCCAAACGCCGTCGAAGATTTAAGCCATCTGTGTCACAGCGGGGGGCTGAGAAGGGGGGGAAGTGTCAAAAAAAAAGAGAGCGGAAGCCAGGGCAGTTGACTTTCAGCAAGGGATGAAAAAACAGACCCAACAGCGGGAACTTCCCAGGGGGGAGGAAAAGTGAGACAATGAACATAAAAGGTGGTAACAAAGGGAAGACAAGATAATGTAGGCGAAAGAAAGGGACGGAGAAACAGGGGGGGGCGAACAAAAAGAATTCTACTAATACGGTGACCTTCTATAAAGGGAAGGATTTGTAGATCGTGAAGCGTACAATAGCGAAGGCATGGGCATCAGGGCGACAACAAGGAGGAAAAAATTTGTTTCTGTATAGAGG